ATCGACCAGATGCGCGGATCGAATCAACGGGTGGATATACCCCGGTACAACACCAGGATCCTTATTTTCGCCAATAACCATCCCAGCCTCGTCCACCTCAACTTCCTCCCCAGATGCGATCGCAGCAGCGTCGTGGCTTGCGAAGTTCCGGTTATGTGCGATTCGACAGTGATTGATGAAACCCTGGGTGCTGAAGAAGTTGTCTCTTCGGCAATCTAAGCAGACCAATTTCACAAGATGGCCATCGGTCTTTCGCTTGATTATCGTAGGGCCTGTTTTGTCCTTTGGTGGAGGATAGCCGTTGGAGAGTGACTGTAGACCAGAACCAGTGGAACCTCGTTGAGGTCGCTTAGTAGCGCCCGTAGAACCAGCGTCGCCCACGCTCCCGCGCGTTGCCCGCCCATCCGTAGGTGCCTTCCCAGCAGCAGTCGCAACCGAAGTAGCCGCATTGTTCGCTCCACTCGGAGCCACACTCCCACCATCAAACCGGGGATCGGGTATTAACCACTTCGCATAATGTCTCCCATACGGACCATCACGAACACCCCACGGCGACGGGGAGAGCGGTGGCCGACCATTTCCAGGAGGCAGAACCGCTCTCCCCGTACCTACGCTAGCGGAATCGAGAACCCCAGCAGCATCTGACCCGGGATACGGGATCTCAGAGCAGCGACGGAGTTGTTCCAGCGCGATCTGACACTTTGCGATCTCCTGATCGATTAATCGGAGTTCGTCATGTTTCAGCAGGACCTCCAGACTAAGCTGTGCCTCAACAGATTGGCGCACCGTTTCTGGATCCTTAGCTTGGGGTTGTTGCGACGACGGCGTTGATGTCTGAGACTGCTGCGGCGCGGAACCCTGCCGAGCGACCGTTGGAACATGATTTATCGAAGGCGTCGAGCCATGCGACCGATCCGACGACTTCTCAGCCTCGCCCTTATCCCCACCCACACCCTCCACCGAACCCGCGTTCGCGACACCACTACCTTCAACAATCTCCGGTCGCGGCGACTTCGCTGGTCCCCGTCCCTGCCCAGCAGCGATCACCGACTCCCCAGAACCCGCGCGTTTCCGCTTCTTCTTCTGCGGCGCAGGAGTCGTCGCAGCCACAGTCGCAGGCGTATTATTCTTATCCATACCCGACTGTTGCGGATGCAGCGAATGCGAATGCGACTGTTGATGCGACGACGACGACGAGGGCGGCGGCATGGTCAGAATCTTATTGATCCCTTCCTGGTGATCTGGCGTCGTTGTCGTTGTTGTCGTGGTCGCGATAGTAGTCGTGGAACCCGTCGTCACCTTGTTTCCCCCGACACCCGAGGACCAAGGAAGCAACCGAAACATGCCATGCGAAAATGAGGATGACGCCACTTTTAATTGCGATCGGGCTTTCGGGGAAAGGGAAAGGGAGAGGGTGAGCGATTATTCTTGGGAAGGGTAAGGCGTGGGTTATATTAAATGTCTTTTCGCGACGTTTACGGTCTGCATTGAGGGAGGTGTATGTATGTAGGTAGGTAGGTAGGTAGGTGTATGTTTTGAGGGGAGTTGCGAGTTGTTGCTTTAATTAGGTTGGTAGGAGAGTTGGAAGTTAAGATTGCGCATTTGTTCGGGGGTTGCAGTTGTTGTTGATGGTTGTCAGTGGTTGGAACTGGGTCGGGAAGGGTTGGGGGTCTTTGGTAGTTTGGTTCGGTCGCAAAAGAGAGAAAAGAGAGTCTGAGTAAGTGAAAGAGAGAGAGAGAGATCTGGGATGTGGAAGGAAGAGAGAGAAAAGAAAGAGAAGATGTCGAATCGGAAGAAGGCAAGACGCCACGAGAAAGAAGAGAAGGAAGATTAAGAAGAAACAGGGATGAACATAGAAGACGAAGAGAGTGGAAATATCTAGTTTGAGCTAATTAACCGCGAAAGAAGGGGACGAAAAGATAGGAAGAATGAGGAAGAAAGAGAGAGAGAGAGGGAAGGGAAGGGATAGGAGAGAGAGAGAGAGAGGTTGAGGTCTCACGGGTAAAACGGGTGGGAAGAGAGATGTGATAAAAGCGATGAGATATTATATATAGGTTTATAGGTTGGTAGAGATAGGAAACAAAGGATCAAGAGCTACGACAGTCAGATATGAAGCTGCGAGAGTGTTGGAGACGTTGAAAGAAAGATGATGAAGATGCGACGATGAAGGTGAAGTCGAAGTCGAAGAGAGAGAAAGTGGCTTGAGGCTGAAGACGAAGACGATGAAGACGATGGAGAACATCTACAAGACACACAGTTTCTACTTCAATAAACACGCACTTTATCTCTCTCTTTTATTATCTCCCATCATGCCTCACTCTACCAATCTCTTACATAGAAGAAACTCGGGGAATTCAATCTGAGAGATTAAAGATATCTCTCGATGCGATCGATGTTGAGATATCGATGTAAGGGTTAACAATGCGACTCAGCACGACGGATCCATGGTTCATTCCGGCTCTGTCCTAATAACTACCATTCTCATCGACTCTTTTCTTCATCGTGTCTTGAAGGCATCCTATCCTTCCTATCAAGGCAAGGCATGGCAAGAGAGGGCTTTTAAAGGCATGAATCTCTCCCTCCTCCATCGCCCATGATCCATCCATCCAGACCTTTCTTCAGCGACATGCCACGTTTCGGGGTTGGGCGGGAGCGGTTCCACAAAATTTCAAGGTCTCAGACCATCGCCTGTCTCACCTTGACTGAAGCCTAGAGGGACCTTGTCAAATGTTTGACTCAAGCCAATTTATAACTGCCAGCCTGAGCGGCAAAAGGCCGCAGCAGCCACACACATGATAAAAGCGATTGCCCCAAGGATGCGATGCCCAGAACTGTTTACCCACACTAACGTCGGAACACGGACAAGTAAGAATGCAAGGACAGAGCCGGGGTGAGGGAGAGGTGTGGTGGGAAAGGTGTGTGTGGGAGTGGGAGGGGGAGGGGATCCCAAACGCCTTTGTATCATGATTCTCCCTCCAACTCGCATTTCCTTTGCTTCTCTCCTCCTCCTCTCGCCCGTATATGGCTGTTCTGCCCGATGAGATGAGATGCGATGCGTGTAACCGTCTCACCTTCATATCAAACTTCCCGTGCTGCGAGAGAGCGCGGCGGCCGGCAACATGCAACCTAATTAGCTCCTGCAATGTTGCTCTTCCGGTTCGGCCGATCGAATCGTATTGGCTCTGGCCTCTGGCTGTGGCTGGGACACGGGTAGAGCTGTGGTTATGATGTATCTCTCTGGGACGGTTGACGTACCTTGATCAGAGGGGTGAGATCATTAAACTCAATCCGCGAAAAAGGGTTCTAGAAGGTGGGTATATAAAATAGGCGCTGGGGAGATATATATAGTCGTGAATTGTCCCCCTTTCGGCGGGTTTGAATATTAGCGAAAGGACTCTCTCTGCTTTGCATGCGAAACAGTGAGATATGGGGAGGCATTCTGCGCTCGCATCGCATTCTCAGTGAGCTGGAGACTCGCCCGCTCGACAAATATCCATAGACCCAATGACCGCAGCGCAAGCCTAGCTAGATTTTAAACATGCACTCTCGCAGCATTTCTGCTCTGTCATCGATAACAATGGCCATGAAGCCTTGATTCGACTGGTATGATATGCAACGATGATCAAAAAGCATCCAAAGCTCAACTCAACGCCAATAAAATTTCCCGTAGCGATTTCAAAAACATGTACGTGGAATCGAACAGAGCATAAGAAGTACAGTACATGCATAGCCAAAAAAAGAACGAACGCTACAAACAGAAAAGAAACATCTGCCTCGTGGCCGTATGAATATAATATCTCACAATCACAACCCTAACCTTCATTCGTCACTCCCGCCCGTCATGATCCAAGCATATAAATGAAAGGGTATCCCCCTCTTCATCATCCCAGGCTTTTCAAAAGGTTTCACTTCCAAAAGCGATCAATCAAGCACCTCCCTTCTCATTCCCAATATCCTGAAGCCTCAACACCAAATTCACCACCACAGCCGCCAACAACGCGAGCGCCAGCACCGTCGGCCCAAACCGATCGTCGAACCCACTCTGCCCCCTCTTCCGTATACTATTCGCCCTCCAATGGAACGTCACGAGCGCATACACCATCGCCGCCATCGCCACGACCGTGAAGCAAGCCGCTGAGATGCGGCCGATGCGATCACCGAAGTTGAGGAGGCCGACTGCGAGGCCACCGAGGATGACGGTGAAGTTTAGCCATGAGAGGAAGGTACGTTCGTTTGCGAAGAAGACTTTTGGTTCGACGCGGGTTGGGAGGGCGATTCTTTTGCCTGGTGATGGGTGTGAGTGTGAGTGGGTGGGGTTGTTTCAACTGGGGAGCGACAGAGGGAGGGAGCTTACCTGGAGCGGTTTGGAGGAGTGGTTGGCTGGACATGATTGTGTGTGTAACCAAGAGGCAGAGGTAAGGAAAGTAAGGTGTTTAATTAATATGAAGTTCAATTGACCTCTGACGATAGACAGAAAGAGAGAGAGAGAGAAGAGAGGTCAGGTCAGTCTGTTGTTTCGTCGTTGTTGTGATGGGTTTCTCAAGCTTTGCTTTTTTGCCTCTGTGCTCGATGTCCGGGATCAATAAGTGGGTGGCTCTGCCAAGATGTGATATTAATCTATTGATATGGGTAAGTATAGCTTCGGGGGTTAATTATATCAGATCATCCACGGCAAGGTGAAGAGGAAGTCAAGTAATTTCTTCTCTTTGAATTCTCATTCTCTTTATCTTCGTCATCGTCGTCGATGTTTCTTTCTTTCATCACGCCGAAGAGAGAGAAGGTCACGGGATGATGTGTCAGAGCTGAGTAAGGAGACAGCATCTCCTTCGTACAAGGGATGTAATTGGCCGAAACTACAAAAAGTCCAGATACATCTCCCTCTGCCAGAAACCACCAACATGGTGTATCGATTAAAAAGTAGCTACTTCCCCCATGTCATTTCGACATAAACTTCTGTCTGAAGTGAGTTTTTTTTCCAAACAAAAATTCAAAAAAAGAAATGACAAGGGTGGGATTCGAACCCACGAGAGTTTCCTCACACGAAAGACTCACCCTAATGATTCAGGGCGAAGATCACGTGATCTGATTACGTAAGCTTGAGTCGTGCGCCTTAGACCGCTCGGCCACCTTGTCTTTCGTTATTAGATCGGATGAAAAGAGAGAAGACTAACAGAATGACACGGGCGATCACGTGAAGCTTTTTGCGCAACAGTCGATGATACTGTTTCGAGCGTATCGATGAACAGTCTTGAATATCATGAGAGACAGTGTAAACGGCCAAGCTTCTTAGCCAAGGGGTTGAGCGTTATAGAGATGAGCTTCAGAGTTAACTGAAGCACGACAAGCTAATCAAGAGTATTCAGCGAGCAGTAGGGTATCCAGCGAGTAGTAGACGAGCTGGCTATGTTGCGTGAGCGATAGTGAATTATACTAGATCAAGAATTCAAAATAGTGAAGTGCAAACGTAGAGATTCAACTGTCTTGAAACGAATTGCTAGTTCTCTATAGAAGAGGGGATCTTGCTGTATATAAGATAATTGTCAGTTGAGACCCAGCGAAGAGAGTTTTTAAGAGAGGGTTCTGCATATAAGGGATGTAAGAAAGGAAAGCTCAATTGACTGGCGTGAAGAAGGGTGCTCGCTAGCCACTAGAAAAGAGGGTTCCTGTTCCGGCTGTTACAGACAGACAAGAGAAGAGCGTTCGACGTACGAGATCAAGAGCTGTTCAAAACATACCGAAAAGCCTAATGCGCAAAGCTCTCGACGTTGATGATTCGGCGAAGAACAGCATGTAGCGACAAGTACTATTCGAAGGGGCAATTGAAATATCGCGAGGCAGAATCAAAGAAGCGATAATGTCGGAGTGAGAGACATTACTGCCTGACTGCAGCAAAGCAAGGAGACGAGAAGTGATGAGAAAGAGAAAGACGGAAAAGGAAGAGGAACGGCAAACCAGACAAGTCCATGGCGAAATACGGTGGAATCGAGAAACGTTGAGACGTTTCGATGCTAGATCAAGCGTATTATAATCCGAATAAGAAAATGAGTTGATAACGAAGCTTCTCTGAAGTATTTCTGCTATGCGAGTAATGTTTTCATCGTGCCCAAAGGCTGCCAAGGCCCATGTTCGGTTTGGTATCTTCAATCCGCCACCGACGCGATCCATGAACCAGATAAACAACCAACAGCCAAACAACCAAAACATCAATTGAAGCTTTTTCTCGACAGCTATATTTCTCCGGGATAAAGCCTCAGCTTCTTCTATTCGCACCTTGCGCCCTTCTTTGCGCAGGCAATATCTCTATCAGAAAACCTACGTCAAAAATTCATAACCAAACAACCATCCCACGCGACCTCCAATCCCTCCCCAGCAACCAGGCACAATGGCGTCGGAGAATAATGTATCAAACTCCGTACGTCGAACCCCAATACCCGCAGGAACTATACTAACCGCCCACCCCATCTCGAACAGCCCGTCCCTCTCATAGAACTAAACCGGATCGCAAAGGAGGTGAGTTCTGCCCCCTTCACTCTCTGATAGCAGTAGATATCTAACCCATACACAGGCCTGCGACTCAACCCTCTCCCTTGCAAAATCCTACGACCACACCCTCGTCTCAGACTGGAACTCACAAATAATCGTCCGTCCCCCACCCCATCTACCGCCCCTCCATCTCCCCACTAACCTTCTATAGAACAAAGTCCTCACCTCCCTAATCCAATCAACCTCCACCCCCTCCTCCGCCACCAAACCAACAGACCCCTCCTCCTCCACAACCTCCACAACCACCACAACCACATCAACATCAACCCCGACCCCACCCCCCTACCGCTTCAACGTAAACAGCACCATCGTCCAACAATCGCCTCCGCCCTCCTCACCCCCTACAAACGGTTCCTCTCCGGAGGAAGAACCCTCCTCATCGCACGCTGCTCCGGAAACAGGGAAGAGGGGAATGCACTCCGCTTCCGGCGCGTACTGGGATGTTAAGCGCGATGGGATGTGGACGTATAAGTATACCGGGGCGGAGGAGAAGGGGATGGATGTTGTGTTGAGTGTTATTTGGTTTGCGATGGGGTAGTGCTGTTGCGCTGTACTGGGTAGGAGTAGCAGTGGGAGGGCGAGGGGGAGGGGAAAAAGCTTGTTCCTTGTCTGTGTTTGGTTTGGCTTATTTCTGGTCCTATGTTTTTGATATATCGGATTTTGCCTTTCTTCTTCGATTGAGCGAGTGTATTACTATTTGTTCCTATGGATGGAGGTTAGTTCTACTAAAGAGCAACTATGGATTCAAGCGTTGAATGAACATTCCGTCTCGTTTCAGCTCGTCGTTGACTTCAGTTCTGAGCTGCCGGATTGGTTCTCTCTCAAATATAAACAGTTCGACCATTGGTGGTGTGGGCCTGCCCCCCCCCCCCCCCCCCCCCCCCCCCCCCCGCCCCCCCCTCACGCACATCTCTCCATCCCCGCGGTCTTCTCCCAGCA